ATTTAATACTCCGTATTCAATAATATTTAACTTTATATTATTCAAAAACACCTCTAATTTTGTTAATCTTTTTATGAAATTTTTAAATATGTAAAATTTTTTAAATTTCACATGATCGGCGATTCCTTCGGTGCATGTTAAAAAAAGAGTGTTTTAAAACACTCCCAACATGTACCAATAGCTAGAAGACATGTGGCTTCTTTTTCCACCTCACTTTAATGGAATATAAATTTTCAATTTAATCTCAAGGACTGATTTGCAATTTTAAATACTCTCCCTCTAGTTTTGTTTTCACCGTCTCTTCTGCCGTCCCCTTCACATTAAATGTATTAATGGAAGTTGATGTTCTAACTTCTACGGACTACCAAAAGTCCAAAAAAAAAGAAAAAAAACCCAAAAAATGGGGAAAAAAGAAATATACCGTAAAAACAAAAAACAAATAAAAAGTGAAGGATTGATTTTTTAAGGAAAATTATTTAAAATAATTCTTCTACCAATTTCTTTCAGTTTCTTTCATTTTTTTCTAGTTTCTTCTAGTTATTTCTAACTATTTTAGTTTCTTTCATTTCTTTCTAGTTTCTTCTAGTTATTTCTAACTATTCTCAATTTCTTCAAATTTTTTTTACTCCTTAACCGATTACTCTAAAAAAGATATATTTTTAATTTGATTACTATTTTTATTATTTTTGAAACTATATTCATGATTATAGTTTATAAATTATTTTAATTTTTTTCATTTCAATATTTTTACAATTCATACTCATTGTTATTTTTTCAACTTTTTAAAGCGAGTAATACATTTTTGGGCAAGGTTCCCATGACGTTATGTCATGGGATGACCCGGGGCCGCTGCGGTGCCCCTTTTGTAAAATTGACGATTCCTACCCCTCTTATCCCCCGGTAAAATCCACCCACCCCGCACTAACCCGAACACACCCCCCACCCCCCTCCCATTGCAACCACAAGTTGATTTTGACTTTGGAGTCAAAATTTGACTTCAAAGTCAAAATCAACTTGTAGGGTGCAATTGGAGGGGTGGGGGTGTGTTCGGGTTGGGGAGGGGTGGGGAGGTTTACTGGGGGGATTAGGTGGATAGGAACCTTCAATTTTACGAACGGGACACCGGAGCGGCCCCGGGTTATCACATGACATTGCCGGGCAATGTCATGGTAGTCTTGGTGTACATTTTTTTTGTATATTAATTTACATGATAAAATACAAAAACATCAATATTTTAAACTATATTAAAAAAATTATAGATAAAATAGTTACATAGTATTCCCTCCATCCTGGAGTATTCGTTCAGTTTTAACTTTTGGAATTGTTCATCTAAACACTTAGACTCATCAAATTCTCTTAATATGTAAGACTAAATATAGTCATGTGTGATCTTGTTTATTTGTCTTAACATATAGATTATTAATATATAATTTCTATAATTTTTTAATAAACAAATTACAAGATAAAATGGATTAAAAAAGTGTATTGGATGGTGTGTAAAAATGAAAGTGGACAAATACTCTGGGACGGAGGTAAACGTAGTATGTTTTATTAATCTAAATATGTATAAGAAAAACATCAATATTTCGATCTAAAAAATAATTTTGGAATGAGGGAGTACCACTATACATTATGAAAACCAAGGAAGAACTACATTTTGAAAAAGAAAAAAAACAACCTAAACAGCGTAAAAAATTTTAAAAGTAAAAATAATTTTGAAAAAAAGATAAAAATAGGAGTAAAACGTAAAAAAATGTAAAAGAATAAGAGCTCTATTTCTTTATTTAAAAAATATTAGTTATAATGAGAACAAAATGTCAATCATGAAAGAAAAAAAAGTATATTTAATTACATTATGTGATATGTCTGATATTTAAGACAAAATCATGTAGATTAATATACAAAAAATGTATTACTCACATTAAAAAGTTGAAAAAAATAACAATGAGTATGAATTGTAAAAATATTGATATGAAAAAAATGAAATAATTTATAAATTATAGATATGAATATAATGGTTTCAATAATAATAAAAATAGTAATCAAATTAAAAATTTATCGTTTTTAGAGTAATTGGTTGAGGAGTAAAAAGAGTTTGAAAAAATTGAGAATAGTTGGAATTTACTGGAAGAAACTAGAAACAACTGAAAGAAACTAGAAGGAACGTGAATACATCAGAAAAAATAGAAAGAACTCGAAAAAACTAGTTAAGAGTTTAAATAATAAAGAACAGACTCTAAAGAGTTGAGCGTGAATGAAAAATTAAAAAATTTCTACTATTGCTTTAAAAAAGAAAAGAATTATCTGACCAAATCTCACCTTTAAGCAATCCAATAAAAAATATCTTTTTTCAATGTTATGCATAATTATCTCACTTTTTGAGGTATCAATGTCTTACTGATTTTTTTAAAAAAATATTTTGCGTAAATAAAATATTCTCTTTTTTATTTTTTTTAATTTTGACTTAACTCATGTAAGAGTAATATTATTATTAGAGGTGTCAAATCGGTCGGGTTTGGGTTCGGTCACTTCAAGTTCAGGTTATTTCGGGTTCGGGTCAGTTCGGGTTCGGGTTGAGAACTATAAGTTCATGACCCAGTGTCATCGGGTTCGGGTCGACCCATCGGAATATGACTTTGGTTTTTTAAATTTTTAAAGTCACATTAACACTTACATTTTCTATTAAATAAATTTAAAATATCAAAAAAAGTATTAAATCTATAAAATTATTTTATTTTTAACTCTAAAGTAGTTTTTAGATATATAAATCAATATAAGGAATTTAAAAATACTTAGGTTTTGGAAAAAAGTAAGATAACTATGTAATATCATTAAAATTTTGTCTGAAAATATAAATGTATACACTAAAAACGAGTAAAAAAGTGTATAATTTTGAAAAATTCTTACTTTAGCGGGTCGGTCAGGTCAAGTTCGGGTTCAGTCGGGTTTGACTCATTTTTAGCGGGTCATTTCGGGTTCGGTCAACTTTGGGTTCGGCCATCAAAACCTTTGTTCAAAACCTAGTGTTTTCAGGTCGGGTTTCGGGTCAAAAACAGGTCGGGTCACTTTTTGCTAGGTCTAATTATTATAGATAATTTTTAAAAAATTGCATAATAGTAGAGTTATTTTAAATAATTTTCCTTAAAAAATTAATCCTTCACTTTTTATTTGTTTTTTTATTTTTTACGATATATTTCTTTTTTCCCCATTTTTGGGTTTTTTTCTCTTTTTTTGACTTTTGGTAGTCCGTAGAACATCAACTTCCATTTATTCATTTATACTCCCCAACTTGAATCATAAATTCTCTAATTTTAATATGGAGAGAGTTGAAGGGGACGGCAGAAGAGACGGTGAAAACAAAACTAGAGGGAGAGTATTTAAAATTGCAAATCAGTCCTTGAGATTAAATTGAAAATTTATATTCCATTAAAGTGAGGTGGAAAAAGAAGCCACATGTCTTCTAGCTATTGGTACATGTTGGGAGTGTTTTAAAACACTCTTTTTTTAACATGCACCGAAGGAATCGCCCACATGATCTTTTATATAAAATTATTTGAAATTAAATTCAATCAAATATCGTATCTTATTGATCTTTTTATGNGGTAGTCCGTAGAACATCAACTTCCATTTATTCATTTATACTCCCCAACTTGAATCATAAATTCTCTAATTTTAATATGGAGAGAGTTGAAGGGGACGGCAGAAGAGACGGTGAAAACAAAACTAGAGGGAGAGTATTTAAAATTGCAAATCAGTCCTTGAGATTAAATTGAAAATTTATATTCCATTAAAGTGAGGTGGAAAAAGAAGCCACATGTCTTCTAGCTATTGGTACATGTTGGGAGTGTTTTAAAACACTCTTTTTTTAACATGCACCGAAGGAATCGCCCACATGATCTTTTATATAAAATTATTTGAAATTAAATTCAATCAAATATCGTATCTTATTGATCTTTTTATGAAATTTTTATTGGAGTGAGTAGTTTATATACTCCATATAAAGGATGAGAATGAAATGGAGAATGTTTTGACATTTCAAACCCAATTTTATTGGTAAACTTGAGGAAGCAATTTATCCTCTTGTCGCTTTTAGGAAAGCCAATTGCAAAGTGAAACGTGTCACAATCCTAACGCTTCATCTTCCACCGAACCATCCCTTATTTACGATCAAATTATTGTAATCCATTTCAATCTTCTTCTCCCACAATCCAGATTCCAAGCTCCAATTCACAATGGATCGATTGTTTCTCCTCGCCCTCTCGGTGCTGGCCTTGACGGCGGCCTCATCTGCGGTCGCGGACGAAGATCCGTTGATCCGGCAGGTTGTGTCCGGCGGCGAGGACGACTCTCTGCTCAACGCCGATCATCACTTCTCGCTCTTCAAGAGCAAGTACGGCAAGAGCTACGCCACCCAGGAGGAGCACGACTACAGGCTCTCTGTGTTCAAGGCTAACTTGCGCCGCTCTCGGCGCCACCAGCTTCTCGATCCATCCGCCGTCCACGGCGTCACCAAGTTCTCCGATCTCACTCCTAATGAGTTCCGCCGGACCTATCTTGGGATCGATACACGCCGATCGAACAAGCTCAAGCTCAAGCTCCCCTCCCATGCTCAGGAGGCCAAGATCCTGCCGACCGGCAATCTCCCCGCCGATTTCGACTGGCGCGACCATGGTGCCGTGACAGGCGTGAAGAATCAGGTATTTTCACATCATAATCTGACTTCTCTTTTGATATAGAGTAGTATCACACGCGTACACAGCAGATGTGGTGTTTGACACAGAGGAAATTGCTAGGGTTCATGTGGATCTTGCTGGTCGTTTAGCACCACGGGAGCTTTGGAAGGAGCAAACTTTCTCGCAACAGGAGAGCTTGTGAGCCTCAGTGAGCAGCAGCTTGTGGATTGCGACCATTTGGTCAGTGTTTAATTCTATCCTTCTAACTGTACTTTTTTTAAAAAACCTAACTGTACCTTTACTTAATTTTCAGAAAGAAATACAAACTAGTACTCAATCTTATTATTTGCTCAATAAGTTAGTAACAAATACTAACAATTGGTTCGTTTCATATGATTTGAGCGGTTGTTCTTATTAAAACTCTGTAATAAACTAAAATTGTGTCTGAGATTTGTGCAAGACTCTAAACACAATTGTTGAGGAAAAAAATACTCCGTATTAAGGAAACAAGGACCTATTTTGAAACTGATTGGAAAAAAATCCTTCATGGTAGTATGTTCTAAAGTTCATCTTTTCGGCAACTGGTTGTTAGCTCTTTGTTTAGTTGCTCTAAAATATTGAAAAGCTGGTTTTTTTGTGAACCAAAGCTGGAACATAGCTGCTCCAACATGTTCTAAACAAGTAAACCGCTGCTCCAAAAAAGATTTAAACCATGTTCTGGTAAACTAGCTGTTTAGGACCAGAGAGCCACCCCAAATTAACCCAAAACCTTTTTTTAACCCCCCCAAAAAAACTTTATCATATGATGTCCATCATGCATATGTTGTAAGACTAATGTAGTTTTAGTGACTCTGCTCTGTCTTGTATTTTATTTGCAGTGTGACCCAGAGGAAGCCGATGATTGTGATTCAGGGTGTAATGGTGGATTGATGACCACTGCATATGAATATGTACTAAAATCAGGTGGCCTTGAGCGGGAAAAGGACTATCCTTACACCGGGAGGGATGGTACTTGCAAATTTGACAAAAGTAAAATTGTTGCATCTGTTGCTAACTTCAGTGTGGTCTCCCTCGATGAAGATCAAATTGCTGCCAATTTGGTTAAACATGGCCCTCTTTCAGGTTTGTAGTTTACCCACCCCTTTTGGAGCACTATTCTAAAAAATCTTCCTTTGTTGGCTTACTTCTAATGAGGGATCAAAATTGCATACGTTGACTGATATGGGTGGATACGATCCTCCCTGCTCCACATCCCATCCTCCATTCCCTATCTTTGTAGGGGAGCCTGGCATACACAACTTTATGTTACCTTATATGTGTGAAAAAGTAATGCGAAATTATTGGGAGGGAATATTACTCAGTCTATAACATAAGGAAAACTACTTTGTTGTTGTTATAATATCCTCATCAATTAATTACATTGACAAATTGTTCCTTTATATATGGTCATGTGCACCCAATATCACCTCATTTCCCTATTAAGAGTTAATCACACGCCAAACTCCCCCCTTAAGGTCTAGGTGTTGTAAACCCATACCTTGACCAATTTGCTGAGTGATAACAGATGATAGAAGGCTAACATTTGCACTTTTTCTTGGCTCATCTCCAAATTGCAGTGGGAATCAACGCGGCTTTCATGCAGACATACATTGGAGGAGTGTCATGCCCGTACATATGTTCAAAGAGACGCTTGGACCATGGGGTGCTGCTGGTTGGGTATGGGTCAGCTGGGTATGCCCCAATCAGGCTGAAAGAGAAGCCATACTGGATCATCAAGAATTCTTGGGGTGAAAGCTGGGGGGAGAATGGGTATTACAAGATTTGCAGGGGCAATAACGTCTGTGGCATCGACTCCATGGTTTCAACCGTCACTGCGGCTGTCATCAGCAACTCCTAAACAGATCAGTGAACTTCTTCTCCTCAGGTCCCTTTAATCAATCGTGTAGAGCATAATAAGATGCTGTTACTCAGTTTCTTCCCTTGTAAATACAAATAGTACTTAAAAAAGTTCTGTACGGTCGAATTTCTGTGGGATCACAGAACAGCCTTAACCGCTAGTGTTTGCCATGTACCCCAAACAATATATAAAATGTGTGGACCATTACCTTGGAGAAATGTTATGAAGCATATGTACTATTTCAACTTCATGTAATAATATATTTCTATTAAGCATGTGGGTGTATTTAATGTTAAGTTATCTCATGAGGTTTTGAATTAATCTTCTTGTCAGCTTGATATACAAAGATAGAATTGTAAGTGTTAGTACATTTAATGCTCCAATATTTGATAAATGAGTATTTTTCTTAGGAGTACTAAAATAACATCTAGATGGGGACCCTTGACGTGGATATAGGACAGTGGGGGCTGGGGCAGTAGGGGTGGGCACAAGACGGGTTTGGATCCGACTTGTAGCACATTAAACTTTGCAATCTGATCCATTCAAAGTTGGGTTGGACACGAAGTAGTGTCATCTGGGTCACAGTTCAGGTTGTTCAAGTGGTTCAGTAGGGGTGCAAAAGGGCGTAATGGTCGGATTCGACTCTAGCAAAGGCAAATGTAGGATAATTTATGCTCTACATAAACATCTTTTGCGAGGGACCAGGGACATGAATCTGATTCAAATGAGAATAGTACATACTAAAAGAAATGAGAATGCATACGATTCATTAGATTGAAGATCTAGGGGCTATTAAAAATAAAAAAAAATCTAAAAAAATTGAAACATACTATTTTTGTGCGACAAGGTATCAAATAAAAACTCAATCAACTTCACTTGTCAAAAGAAGATGACATTAAGTTTCTGGAAAAGATACATGCAGTATTCCAAGTTCCAAAAAATGCCTATAAAACAACCACCTTCATTTTACTCCCAAGACAGAGACAATGTGGTGGAGATTAATGGCAATTTTCAAAGTTAAACTTCAACTGTAGAGTTGCTATAAACCTCTCTATCATATATTCCATTCATGTAGACAGGAAAGAATGGCAAAGTCAGTCATCATCCTCACCAATTGTGGGGAAAGAAAAGGGAGAGAATTTATACCCACCCCCCTGGTAAAACTTGTTCTGGAACTCAAGCCAGTGAAGCCGCAACGCGTGCAAAAAGGCGCTCAGAGTTTCCATCACCAGAAGAACGCCCACCGTTGCACCCACGAATACTATTATTCCACTTATGAGGAGAATCACATTGTCGAACCTGTAGTGGTAACACATTGATCAGATCATTTCACTATATCCA